GGGGCTCAGCAGCAGCTCAGCCCATCGCTGCCCCTTTGCACCCCTCCTCTCCTGCAGGAGACCCAGGTGGGGCCGCTGCTGGAGGCCGGATTCAGGAGGGAGAACATCAGCACGGCGGTGATGGACCTGGTGCCCCCCCAGGACTGCCGGTACTACTCCTTCCACAAGATGATCACCCCCACCATCGTGAAGCACTGAGGGTGCCGGAGCCCCCGGGGCTGCCAGAAGCACACACCGAGGAGGAGAGGCTCTTATCTCCTCTGACGCTAAGGAGAGAAGATTGAAGCTGATTTACCTGGAGGCAGGAGAGGGCTGGAGGCTTGGGATGGAAGCCCAGGGGACAAAAGGACTCGGGGCTCCCTGCCCCACCGAGCCCTGGAGGGGTCTCCTGGGCCCCCACTGTGGTTCTGGTCCTGCCAACCTCCTGGCAGTTCAATGAAGCACAAATGAAGTTTCCCCTCCCTACCCAGAAGGGATAAAATCCATTAAAAAGGAATGAAACACCCCGCTGCTGTTTCAGAGCAATTGGTTTGTCTTTCAAAAGCCCACGAGCAATTCTGCATTGACGGTTCCTGGTTCCCCACGGGCTCCCGGGACACACCCCGGGCTGCTCTGCTCCCCCTGTGCTGAGGGGGGCTGCAGCACCCATGGTTATTGGTCATACTCTGATTTTAAGCATTAATACTTTACTTAGAATGAATTTCTGGCTGCTCTGCGCACAGATATAAAGGATTTATTAGATCCTCTGTAGGAATTAAAACAAAAAGCAGGTGGGGAGTGAGAGACAAGCTCAAGAAAACCCCGGGGTTCACCTGTTGGTCCCAAACCTTCCTACCGAAGCCAAAGTGGCAGGTTTCTGACATGTCACGATAGAAAACTTCAAACATTCCCTTCCCTCGCAGGCTATTGAGACCAGAAAACATCCTGACTGTTATCAAATTCAGCTCCTGCTCCTCAATTCAGTTTTTAAATGCATTAAAACACTTCGGTAAGAGGGACATATCAAAGACCCCAGAGCATCTTAACCACGTCGAGTTTTATTGGAAGGCTCGTGAGAACAGAGATTGTGCGTACGGCTGCAAGCAGGTGCCTGGCGGCAGTGAGCGGGCAGGTGATGAGTACGAGGCTATTTCCTGTACCAGATCTGGATCTTCTTCTCCCGTTTGATTTTCCTCTGAAGCTGCAGGATTCCATACAGCAAAGCTTCAGCAGTTGGTGGGCAGCCTGACAGAGATTAAAAAGAAGCCCCTGGGGCTGCTACCTGCGCTGAAACAGAGCCGACGAGAACCGCCGAGCCACGGGCTTCACCCCAAAGCGGGCGGTGATCTCCCTCTGGCTCTGGGTATGGCACAGGCTGCACTTCATCACACCAAGAGCGCTTCTTTAAAGAAACTAAAGTGTTTTTTGAAAAGCGTAGAAACGCTTTGCTTTTAGCAAGGTGGTATCTCACAAGAGAGTATCTGGTTGACTAAACTACAGCCCACACTTCGGCATCACGAGGAGAACTTTGCTCACTGGACAGCCCCGGCGCATCTCACTGAGCGTCTGCACCTTCAGCACCACAGTTTGAAACTGGAAGATGTTTAAAAACCACCCCGGGCACCGTCCAAATGTACAAAACTAACCCCACTCCCGCCCTGCTCGGCGTCAGCACCGTGGCACGTGGAGGTTCTCTCCTACCTGGCACGTAGATGTCCACCGGCACGATGCGGTCGCAGCCCCTCACCACGGAGTAGGAGTAGTGGTAGTAACCCCCGCCGTTGGCACAGCTGCGAGAGACGGGCTGGCGTCAGCGCGCGGCTCAACGCGGCTCAGCAGCCACGGGACGGACGGGCAAAGGAGAAGGGGAACCTGCCCGACTCGGGGACACCAGATTCCTGCCACGAAGGACAAGGCGACACGGATCTCCTGGCACTCACCTTCCCATGGAGACCACGTAGCGAGGCTCCGGCATCTGGTCGTAGACCTGCAGACACAGACAGTTTAGACCGCGCCCCACCCACAGCCGTGCGGGAGGCGTCCGGCGCAGGCTGTACCTTTCGGAGAGCCGGAGCCATTTTGTTCGTCAGGGTGCCGGCCACAATCATGACGTCAGCTTGCCGGGGACTAGCTCGAAACACGACCCCGAAGCGGTCCATGTCGTAGCGAGGAGCCGCCATGTGCATCATCTCCACGGCACAGCACGCCAGGCCAAACGTCATCGGCCACAGGGAGCTCTGCAGGGGAGAGAGCGGGTCAGGGAACAGCCGAGACCCCATTACGGACGGACAGCTCTGTCCCGACGGGCAGCCTGCGCCATCCGCTCATGAAGCGTCCCTCTCCCCCTCTGACACAGCACCCAAATGTCAGCCTCTGGCCACGACACGTGGCTATTTCCCTCCGGAGGAATTTGGAGCCTATTTTTATCCTGGGGAGGACGTGGCTCAAATCCGCTTCCCCCCAGCACCTCAGAGCAGTTGGCATCATTTCTCCCGAGCACACAGGACAGGTTCAGCGACTCACCCTTCGCGCCCAGTTGATCAGGTCATCGAGTTTGGTGACAATATACTCGCCCTTGCTGCTGGGGACGAAGGACTTCTTCTGGACGATGGCTGAGCTCTTCTGCTGGACCTGGACAGAGCTGGAGACAAACGGCGCAGCAGCGTCAGTCTCCAGTTATTAAGTGAAACTGCAGAACGCACCAGCCTCCAGGAGCTGGGATCCCACATGGGACCCGTGGCATGTTACTTTTGCTACAACCGTGTTGGTAATGCGGGTTTTCCCCCCGCTGGGGGAGATCTGGGGAGTCTGCTGCGTCCCCCCCCCATTTGCTGTGCCCAAAATATGGAGCGTGGCCGGCGGGCTGACCCCCAGGGCTCACAGAGTTACCCCTGGCTCGTA